TACACCATGACCAAGTGGGATTTATCCTAGGAAGGTAGGGATGACTCAACATACACAGATCTATAAATATAAACAGAGCCAAAGACAAAAGCGACATGATCATCTCAATAGATGCAGACAAAGCTTTTCACAAAGTCAAACACTCATTCTTGATAAAAACCCTACAGAAAATTAGATTGGAATCATACTAAGTAGACAAAAACTGAAAGCTTTTTCTCTAAAACCAGGAACATGACAAGGATGTCCACTAGTTATGTCCACTTGACTATTATTCAACATAGTCCTGGAAACTTTAGCCAGAGCAATTAGCCAAGAGAAAGAAATAAAAAAATAACTATAGGAAAGGAAGAAGTAAAAATATCATTATTTGCATGTGACATGATACTTTACATTTAAAACTTCAGTAAAAATCTTCTAGTTTTCATAAGCAAATTCAGTAATGTAGGTGGATACAAAGTCAATATTAAAAAATCAAAAGCCTTCTTGTACACAAATGACACACTCACTGAGAAAGAAATTAGGGAAATACCTTTCACAATAGCAACAAAAAGAATCAAATACCGAGTAATCAATATAACAAAGGATGTAAAAGACCTCTACGCTAAAAACTACAGTTCTCTGAGAAGGGAGACTGAAGGGAATATTTGAAAATGGAAAAATATCCCATGCTCTTGGGTAGAAAGAACGAACAAATATAATGAAAATGGCCATGCTTCCAAAACTGTTACACAGATTTAACATAATTCTGATCAAAATTCCCAAAGCGTATCTCACAGAATAAGATGAAACAATCCTAAAATTTATTTGGAACCAGAAGAAACCTAGAATAAAAAAGACAATTCTGGGCAACAAAGGCAAGGCAGGGCAGATCACATCCCTGACTTGAAATTATACTATAAAGCTACTGCAATAAAAGTAGCATGATTCTGACAATAAAAAGACCCAAAGATCAGTAGAACTGATTAGAAAAGGGAGAAACAACTCCAGGTATACTCAGCCTCCTTATTCTTGACAAAGGTGTCAAACATATACATTAGGACAAACATGGCCTCTTTAATAAATGGTTGTGGAAAACTGGCTCTGCACAAGCCAAAGATTAAAATTGGACCCATATCTTTTACGATGAATTAAATGTGAAATGGATCAAAGATATAAATATTAAAACAGAAACATTAAATGTGCTGGAAGGTATACCATACGAAACTCTTGAAGACATTGGTATAGGCAAAGATTTCATGACTAAAACCCTGATCACATAGGAACTATAACAAAGAATCAACAACTGTTATCTCCTCTTATTAAAAAGCTTTTGCATAACAAGAGAAACCACTAAAAGAGTGAAGAGACAGCACAATGTGTGAGTTAACGTCTTTAAGCTGTTCTTCAGAAAAAGGATTACTATGGAGAACATATAAAGAACTTAAAAAAAGCAGACCTCACAAATTTAAAGACCCAATCCAAACATGGTCATCTGAGATGAATACACACCTCTCAGACAAAGAAATATATTTTTAAATATATTTAAAAATGTTCAACATCACTGGTCATTGGGGAGACGGAAATTAGAATACTGAGATTTTATTTTACTCTGGAAAAGAATGGTCATCATCAAGAAATCAACCAATAATACATGTAGGTAATGTTCTGGGGAGTGGAGGGAAGTGTTTTTCTCCCGTGGTGGGTGTGCAGGCTGGTGCAATAACTTTGGAAATCAGTGTGGAGATTCTTCAAAAAGCTAGGATTGGAGATCCCATTTGTCCCAGCTATTCCCCTTTCATGCCAGCACAATTTGTAATAGCTAGATCTTGAAAACAACCCAAATTCCCATCAATCAAGGAATGGATAAAAGAGATGTGGTTTTTTCTTTTCTTTTATGTATTTGGTACAGGGTCTGCAGTGTCTACAGGGTCTCACTATGTAGATTTGACTCATAGTGATTCTCCTGTTTTCAGCCTCCCAAGCGGTGGGATTACAGGCATGCACCACCACACCCAGTCTCAATCAATGTGTCAGCGCACCTCTGGGTTGGAGTTGGCACCGCATGCCAGGGATGAAACCCCGTCCACTGCGCTCTGCCTAAACAGGAGCTATAGTCCGCTGAGCTATCTGGAAGGTTCAATGTGGTGTTTTTATACAATGGAGTAATACTCAGCCATAAAGAAGGATAAATTAGAGACCTTTATAGGTAAATGGATGCAATTTGAGACCATACTCATAACTTAAATAAACTAGATATACATGTGTAAACATCGTATTGTTTACCTAGTGTGAGAGACTGAAAGAGATTTATAGGATGCAAAATGTATAATAGATATTGTAAACTGGGAAGAAAATTCCAAAGGAAAGAGAAATGGTGGGAGAATGGAGAATAAAAGGGAATATATATATATATATATATATATATATATATATATATATATTTCTTTTTTGTGGAACCGGGGACTGAACTCAGGCCCTTGTGCTTGCCAGGGAAGCGCTTATTTCACTGAGCCATCTCCCCAGCCCCAAGATAGTTATATTAAATTTCTCTTAGTTCATTGAATAACTTGTGCTAATATTGTTTGGACAATGAAATACTGATATCTTTTATTCTGAGTAACTAGAGATAACAATACCCAATGTATTAACTATTGTGACCCTCTTATGATCTTGTTTTAAAAATTTTTTCTCTTTGAAATAAAACTAAAAAAAAGTTGCATCTTTCTAGTGACCAGTGATGTTGAACATTTTAAAATATATTCATTAGTTGTTCATAGTTCTTCACCTGAGATGTGTGTATTCATCTCAACTTCCATTTTTGTATTAGGTCTTTAAGTTTGGGAGGTTTAATTTTTTTTTTAGTTCTCTATATGTTTTCTTTCTTTTTTTTTTTAAGAATTATTTATTTATTTATTCATTCATTTATTTTGTGTGTGTGGCCAGCTCAGCCCACCAGGGGGTGGGGCTGGCTGGCATGTAGTGCTGGGGGATTGAACTGCGGTCCCTGTGCTTTGCTTAGCTTAGCTTGTTCTAAGTAGGTGCTTTAGACCACTGAGCCATCTCACCAGCCCTATATGTTTTCAATAGCAATCCTTTGTCTGAGGAACGTCTCCCTGTAGAGGCCTGTGGGGTCACTAATAGTCACCTTGTGTCTGCAGGTTTGAACCGCTTGTCTCATGCAGTGAGTCTCGTCTCAGGGAGTAGGCTACCTCCTTCATCTGTGTTGAAGTTTCTCTCTTCACTCTCAGTGGGCTTCAGTTCACACTTCAGATCCTTCCTGGATCCAGGGGGCCCACTTGCCTCCTTCTTGTCTCCTTTCTTGCTCTCTCCCAAGATCTGGATCAAGACTCTCAGAGGGGCTTTCTCTGCTGCTTATGGCTCTGCCATCTTGGTGCTTCCTCCAAGAAATGCAACTTGGAACAACACTGAGATTCCATCTCACCCCAGAAAGAATGGCTGTTATCAAGAAATCAACCAATAACACATGCTGCTGGGGCTGTGGGCAAAAAAAAAAGAATCCTTCTCCACTGTTGGTGGGAGTGTAGACTGATGCAACCACTGTGGAAATCAATGTGGAGATTCCTCACAAAACTAGGAAAAGAGGTCTGATTTGACTCAGCCATTCTCTTCCTGGGTGTCTCCCAAAAGCATCATACCTCAGGGAACTATGTTGTACACCCATGTTCATATTGATATATATATATATATATATATGGCACAAGGTCTCACTATACAGATCAGTCTCATAGTGATCCACCTGTTTTCAGCTTCCCCAGTGCTGGGATTACAGGTGTGCACTACCAGTGTGCCTAGGGGCAGGGCTGGCGCAGGGATCGAACCCTCGTCCCTGCACTTGCCTAAGCAGGTGCTTAGTCTGCTGAGCTAGTTTGCTGGCCCTCAGCACAATTTTTAATTGTCAGATCTTGGAATCAAGTACCCATCAACTGGTGAGTGGATAAAGGGATGTGTTTTGGTGATACAGTGGAGTACTACTCTGCCATAAAGAATGTGCTCTAGACATTTCTAGGAAAATGGATGAACCTTGAGACCACAGTCCTACTTTTTTTTTTCTTTTCTTTTTTCTTTTTCTTTTTCTTTTTTTTTTTTTTTTGGTGGAACTGGGGATTGAACTCAGACCCTTGCACTTGCCGGGGAAGCGCTTATCCTACTGAGCCATCTCCCCGGCCCCACCACAGTCCTACTTTAATAAATCAGATTACATTGTTTGTTTGGTGTAAGAAACCTAAGGTGTAAATAAGGACCAAAATGTATCATAGGTATTGTGACATAGGAAGAAAATGTTCAAATGAGGAGGGGAACAGAGAGGGGATGGGGAGAGGAAGGAAGGAAAAATGTAAAGAAATAAGAAAGATGGACAAAAATAAAAAGAAAGAAAGAAATTAAATGATTTATGAGGAAGGATATGTTAATTAAATTGATGGTGGGGCTGACCAGATAGCTCAGCGGAATAAAGCACCTGCTTAGGCTGAGCGTAGTGGCCGGGATTCAATCCCCAGCCCTGGGGTGTGTTGAGAGGGTGCTTGAGACTGAGCAATGGTGGCACATGCCTATAATCCCAGCACTTGGGAGGCTGTAAACAGGAGGATCACTATGAGTCCAATCTACATAACGAGACCCTGCAGACCCTGTACCAAATAAAAAATAAATAAATAAAAGAAAAATTAAAAAAGAAAAATAAATTGACTGTGGTAACCAGTTCACCATACATACATATATCAGAGCATCACACTCATACATTTGAACTATATATAATTTTTAAAGATCTATTTGAACTATGAATAGTTCAGGAATAATATTTGTTTTTTTTTTTAATAGAACCACATCCATTTTGTGAGATAATAGCCAAAAAAAGATACATTTAATTTCTAACAATGCAACATGTTATAATTTGCTTTCAGTCTGTTGCTGTTGCTAGAAGATTGGATTTTAAGAGATATTTTTATAGATGTACTTTAAAGTTAGTGTCTGATATTCTGCTTGAATACAGTGAGGATTCTTCTTTATGGCGGGATAGTTGCACCTTTCTGTATCTTTTGGCATATTCTTAACCTTCCATGCTGCCAACTGCCTTGACTTTGACAGGCCAGCCCAGGACCGCAGTCACATCGCTGGAAGATTTCTGGGGCTTGTACAGCGTCTTTATGACCTCTCTTAGAGCAGAGTTGCCCCTCTAAGAGGACTGGTTTACAGATCTTAGTCCAAAAATGTCGAGCACAGCAAAGTCCAGGGCCACAGTCAGAAGTTCTAAGACAACTTTCTCCTTCTTGTCCTGTAACAAGATTAACATGGGCTCAGCCACACATGAGAATACCACCCCTGGGGTTATCCTCATGGGGAAAGGTCAGCAGCTGATTAAGACCACAGGTGAGAGCCAGCGGGGCCACAGAAATAGGCCTTACCATGAAATCAATAATGCAGTGGGAATTCCAGCCCCACCTAACAGGATTTGTTTGTCTTACAAAGTGAAAAAATTCATCAAAGAAAGATGGGATTTCCAGGCTTGAGAAATAAAACAGTATCACTTGGCAATGATCTATTAAATGGGATTTATGGTGCTACCAAGAGACCTTTAGTTCCTGAAGTCACAAACAAGAATGGCCCCTTCACCTCTTTCAAACACTTTGGCTATGTTGTATCACAGACTGGAATTTGAGATGACAATTTTATGAAAGAAAGAAAGAAAGTCAGGGTTCATACAAAACTGAAAAGTTAATGCACCTATTTATCTATTTTGTATCCCAAGGAGCTAGCAAGGGAAACTGACTTCCTGAATTACAGTTTATAGTGTAGAATGGTGATATATATATATATATATAT